CGAGGACATAGAAATGCTAACTGTGAAGTCGGCCTGTCAAACATTCTCAGTCCTTTATCGCCGCCCTCAGGGAAATTTATCCACATTTTTTTATTACTTTGAACGCGAGATATTCTTTTTCAATTCAGAAAAATTCTCTTCTTGTATAGCTGGAGACTTCAACATAGATATGAGCACTCCCAGCCCCGCGCAGCAACAGTTGTCATCAATCATCCAGGCTGCCGGTTTTCACAGTGTAATTAGTAGTCCTACACGAATCACTGCTACTTGCTCTTCACTGCTGGACCTTATAATTACTAATAGCAATAGTGCGTTCCTTTCCGGCCGCATAGCAGTCGATATAAGTGACCACTTGCCTATTTTCTTGTTTCTGCAAAAGCAAATCGATTCAAAAGCAAATACAAAAACTCAGCGGCAACTTTTGTCTCAAGAGAGGCTCGAACAATTCAGGAGCCGCATTGCTTTAGTGGATTGGGCTCCAGTATACAAAGAAAATACAGCTGACGGTGCTTACAGCAAATTCCTAGAAATGTTTCTTTTGTTATACAACGCGTGTTTTCCCATTGTTACTATAAATGCACCTAAGAATGCCCGTAAACCCTGGATGACCAGTCAGCTTACACGACAAGTTAAAAAGAAACACAAGATGTTTGCGGTGTTCATTAAAACGAGAGACACCGACGTACTAGCACAGTACAAATCACTGCGCAACCGCTTGAATAGAGAAATTAGAGTAGCAAGAACTGCTTATTACAATAACTTATTCGACAAAAATCTTTCTAAAAAGCCAAAAGAAAAATGGAGATGCTTAAACATGCTTTTAAATAGAAACACGATCGGCAGAAATATAACAAGTTTAGTAATTGAAGGCAACGAAACGTCCGGCTCGCATCTCGCTAACACTTTTAATAAATTTTTCTCTGAGGTAGGTCACAGTGATTTCAATGCTGGAATCTCTAGTTTTCTAGGCGACAAACTAGGACCATCCTTATTTTTTGCACCAACAGATGAAACGGAAGTTTTTTCTATATGCAGAAAGTTAAAAGATACCTCTAGTCTTGATACGCACAATATTCAAAGTCGGCCAGTGAAGTATGTTCTTGATATAATTACGCCTTGTCTAACACACATTTATAACACCGCGCTTACAACAGCTCATTTTCCTGCTGATATGCAACTAGCCAGGGTGACCGTGATTTATAAGAAAGGAGACGCCAACGTTTTGGGAAACTACAGGCCAGTGTCTATTCTTCCGTATTTCTCTAAGGGGTTAGAACAACTAATCCGCGTTCGACTCAACGGCTTTCTTCTTAAACATTCCGTAATAACTGACTGTCAATATGGCTTTACGCAAAACAGATCTACGGAACATGCGCTACTTGTTCAAAAAGAATATATATTAAAAAATTTTGAGACACAGCTCTTAACTCTTGGTATTTTTGTTGATTTCAGCAAAGCCTTCGACTGCTTAAATCATGATATTCTTTTTGCAAAATTAGAGCACTACGGTGTACGTGGACACGCCCTTAACCTATTGAAGTCATACCTGGGCTCACGGTCTCAATACGTAGTCATTAACAATTGCGCTTCACAGACTCTAAGTATTTCAAATGGCGTCCCTCAGGGTAGCATTTTGGGGCCGCTGCTATTTAATGTATATATAAATGATATTCCTAATATCAGCACTCATGCGAAATACATTATATATGCAGATGACACCAGCCTATTTTTTTCCTCTAATGACATAGGACACTTAGAAAAAATTGCAAACGATGCGCTCTCATCACTTGCTATGTGGTCTTCAGTTAACTCTTTGAAAATAAACAAACAGAAAACGAAAGCAGTACTTTTCCTACCTAAAAGAAAACAAGTGTTTCTACCTCCCTGCTTATACCTAGGTGATACTGTGATCGAGTGCGTGGACACCTTTAAATCATTAGGAATAACATTCAGCAATACAATGTCATGGGACGCACATGTTAATAATCTTTCCACAACACTCTCTAGAATAATTGGAATCACTTCTCGTAACAGATATATTTTTCCAACCAAAACAAAACTTACTTTGTACTATGCATTTTTCTATTCCCATATAAGCTATTGCCTACTAGTCTGGGGCAATACAACGGTGTCAAATATAATAAAACTACAAGCCCTACAAAAGAAAATGCTCCGCGCAATTGTGAATGGCTCCTACGATTCGCCCACTAAACATATCTTCCTACAATATAATATTGTACCAGTCAACAAATTATTCGACTACAGATTTGCATGTTTTTATAAAAGAATAATAAGGAAAAATGACCCCTTTTTATCTAAAATTGCTCCACTTACGTTTCGCCACTCATCATATGATACTAGAGCCCAAAGTAGTTATGTATTACCAAAGTGTAGAACAAATTATGGTTTTTCTATGTTGAGTTATATTGTGCCAAATTTCTTGAACACATCATTTTATGACTGCCTGAATACTATGTCTCTTTCTGCCATTCGCAAGAGCATTATTCGGCAATATGTATCATTGTAATATCAAATGTACTCATGTCTTCATATGTTGTACCAATTCTATGTTATTGCTTTATAGTGAAATTACTGTTGTCAATTATGATACATAGGTCTTTTTTTTTTTTTTTTTTGTCACTTTTTTTTTTTTTTTTTTTTCGCTACCTACAAGACCTGGTTGTTTTACTTACAAGACCTGGAACAGTGGTTGTTTCTGCTTAGTGCCCTACTGCTGACATGTGGGGATGGCCAGGCTCGTCAAGCGGCGTAAAATTCGCTGCTTTTTTCTCGCCATCCCTAGTTTGTATGTTTGTATGTGCAAACTGAAATAAAGATTTTGATTTGATTTTTAAACGCTACTTCTGTTGCTGTTTTCCAAATGGATTGCCTCCCTGTTTCACCTTCGGGCTAAGGCTTCAGCGAAGTCCGCTCGACGGCTCGCCGCTCATTGCCACCGCTACCATCGCGACAGAGCAAATTCATAACAGGGCACACTGAAATGAGCCCTTGCCCCCCTCCCCTTCTTGAAAGGGGAACCCTAAGCACGGTTATGTTACGAGGACAAAAAAAAGTTTTGTCAAAGGAAACACAGAGAAGGTTACAAAGACAACTGTGCTTTTACCCGTACTCCTCTTTGTGGAGGCGTCTTTTAGGGGCAAAGCTCCTCTTATACCCCTGTCACACGGCCACCACCGTCAACTCTGTCAACATAAATCTGCCCCAGGGACAGAATCGAAAGTTGGGCTAGTTTGATATGCATGGTATAACTGTCACTTCAAGTGCACAAATAAACAGAAAGGAAGAGAGGACAAGCGCTTTCTCGCAACTAAACTGTTTATTAGAGCTGCCCCAGGGAGTTCGACAGAGATGGAGTTGTGGAAGTGTGACGCGGCAATGACAAGGTTATAATGGTTGCCGCGAGAGGGCTCAGCCGATGTTGTTTGATTTTCGGAGAAGTATCATTATTTCATCTCTAGTTGCTATTTTTGGGAACTTTTGTTATGTCGTTTTTATAAAACCACAATATTTAGTAGATCTGAAGCGAACAAAACATTAAAATTATTTCAAATGAAAATGTATTCGCTAAATGTATTGATGTTGGTAGCGATGCTGGCCACCTTGTGCCCAATGCTATGTTTGTTTACAATTGCGCTGTGCTCGACGACTAGTTGTTATTTAGAGAGTTTTAGCTGGGCGGGTTTACGAGTGAGCGGTCGAGCGGAGAGGGCAGCGGAGCGGGACCCGATAAGACACGGGCTACAATATGTACAAAAGGTCTTGTGTTTTCTTTTATCGGGAGCGCACTCCAAGTGTCCCTTGAATTAGGTCGGGTTCTATAATCATTCCTGCAGCCGTCGAAGCAGCTGACGATCACGCAGCGCTGCCTGTCATTCCTATCACGAGCAAGCGCAAACAGGGCGACGACAACTGCACGCACGGATGAAATATTTTTTTAATAGCGGTGCCCGGCCCGACTCTCGAGGCACGGTCTGGAAGGCATTGGTGTGGAGAGTAGCTCCACTCCGGCGAGCGTGTATGTATGTAAACAAAGACGTTATGAATGAGTACTGCAACAATACAATGTTTAACACTGCCAAAACGTATTATTGTACTCACTGTGGCGATTTAGTACACGAAATTTTTCCTTGCCTGCAGATACTGGGAACGAGAGTACCTCGTTCCGCTGCAAAGGGAGATCGTCGAACGCCCTTTGCGAAATGCTCCGTTTACCTTTGTTTGCGTAAGGGTGGCCGTGTGACACGGACCCCATCTCCCTTGTCGTACGGACGAGGGAGTTAAATGGTGTTCGCGGGTGCCCGTGTGACAGGGGTATTAGTCTAACCTTGTCATGCGTCACACATAACTGAGAGAAGAGACGAGAGAGAACAGAAGGCAGTATCTCACGAACAGTATAATAGACGGCGCTGTCTCATAGAAGTACATACAAGCTGTAGTTGGTGAGGATATTCTAGATGGTGCTGTATTGCTACTCTCCGATTGGCTGCTGCACGGGCTGTGCCTGGGTACGCGGAGAACGAGAGCCTCTCTGTCTCCTGGATAGTCGACGTACGTGGCGGATCGTTGGTGGGGCGTGGACGAAGCCGAGCAGCGGGCGCGTTGAAGACTCTTGCGCTCGGCTTCTTTGGCTCGCATCTTGTCGGTGTTACCGCGCGCCGTCTGTATTCTCGAAGGCAATCAGACGCATGGACGCATGCACAGACGAACAAACACATGGACGGATAGACGCTTTGCCCCCACTCGTCACCGTGGATATGCTGCAATTTTTTTTCTTTTACACAATTTTTTCATTACGGATGCAAGTTAGCAAGATGGTCATTGTTCCATCGCAGAATGGTGCCCCCATGCTCTTTTTGTTAGTGTGCACCATTCACTGTCCATAATGCATTAGTTGCTCAGGTTAGCACACATGAACAAAAGTCGCCCAGTTTAGAACTACGAATGTGGATTTCAGTACATGACGTTGTGCGTGTGTGCAGGTGAAACTCGGCTCGAATCGCCCGGCGAGTACGTGGACGCGGCGGTGGTCGTGGAAGGCGTGGGCGTGCGCAACTTCAAAGAGTGCACTGCCCTCGGCGTGTTCGCGCACATGCTGGGTCTTGGTCCCCGGCTGCCGTACAGCGAGAGCCAGGCCACCAAGCTGGGCGAGGCAGCAGCGAAGGTCACCCAGAAGCCCTTCGCCGTGAGTAAACATTGCATCCACGTCTCGTGCTGTTGCCACGCTTGCCGTCGGGCACTTGCAATCTGGTGTGCTATACACCATTTTCCAAGTGCCACCATCTTGGACTGATAACATTGCAGCCTAGTATTCGTATCAAATAAATAAACAGTGCTACGGTGAACTCACATGCATATAATCGCTTTGCCGGCACATTAAACGTTTTATGATCATTCCATATTGTGACATGAAATATACTACAAAACAAACGCTTATCAGTCCAAGATGGTGGCGCCCATGAGTCGAAAAGAAAATCGTATATGGACAACTGGTCCCGATTTGCAAGTGTTCCTCAACTAGACGCCACGACTTGACATGCAAGTCCTCGTGCCTACCGTGGCCTGTTTCTATTGGTTTCTTTTTTGTTTTACTTCTTTTGTTTCCAGCCCAGCGCTCGTGCCACCTCTGTTGTCGTCTGTTTCCAACTCTTGTAATGGTGCGCACTTTGAACCTTCACGCACGTCACTTATTACCGGATGTAAATGTGCCCAAGAGCATGGTTTTCCAAAATATTTACTCGAGAAAACTGTGGCACTATGATCATTTAGCCACCCTGGGAATAATGGATATCACGTGGATTTGCCTAGACTTCGTGCTTGCAGCTTCAAATGCATGTGCGGCTGTTTATTGCTTTTAGGCTTTGTTTCGGATAAAAGGATCGCTTGCTGTAAACTTTGCGAGCTGATCAGGATTGGCAAAACTAAAGAAAAAAAAGAAGGTGAAGGTAGTGAAATTGGACTGCTAAACATTGGGAACGTCATCTCGTGACAAAGTGGCTGCAGATTACACGGAGCCACATGCAGCCAAAATAACCAGGCTCAGCCAAGTGCGCTCTCATACTACCCGTCTATTTCATGCATGGCTGCACCACCATGTGTTCGAGACTCCCATACACACCAGTTCCAGATTTCTCTCTAGTGTACTATTTTGATATTCTTTGCCCCGTGAAAGTATAATGAGTGTTTTCAGTACGTTCATGTCTGACGTTACATTAGCTGGCTAGAGTGAGTGAAGTTTTGGTCTTTCTGGATAAATGCAGTCAGGCTTCAACGTTTAAGAATGTCAAGTGAGACAAGATGGCCTTACTTCATCTTTACCAGCTCAAAAAAAAAATTGCAGAGGACGACTCAAGACAGTGTTGATAGTGAATTAATCAGTGATCTGCATAGGCTCCACCTTGTGTGGCCACATCCTATCGTGCGGGTAATCCTCACTGAGCACTAAGGCAGGATCCGCTGAAGTAATGAAATTCAGCTCTTGTAGAGACTAGTAGCATCACTTGTTAGACATGGGAGCCTGCCGGTGAAATAAAAATGTAATAAGCAAAGATGTGCATCTGTTAGGCTTGATTTATTCAAGGCAAAACTGCCACAATTGCCTTTGGGGACACGTCTAAAGGTTGAGTGATCGCCTGACTAGGTCGTGGTGAGGGCCACCATTTCGAATTAAGCGAGGTTGCACGGTGCACATTTTGAAGGACGAGGGCCCCAACCGCGTCGCTGTCCTGGTAACAGTAGCTTATTATGGTTAACCTTTCAGTGGACGTCTCTTGAAAATGCCCGTATCACAGGCCAGGTTTAAACGCAGACTCAACTGAGACACCACGTTACTTTTGACTGACAGGTTATCCTATGAGTGGGAATGCTGTTGCTAATTTTGTGATCATGGATACTTCATCAGGAAAGATGACGCGGATATAAATATGATTTTTCAGTTTCAGTCCGTTTTTTTTTTTTCCCCGTATTTTGACCACATTGGCTCAGTGAAATTTCCTGTAACTTTCCTAGTTGAGCCTTCTGCTCCCTTAGAACATGTTGTGATTCGTTTTCACCATAAAGAGTACCTCTGCAGGACCTCACAGTTGGCATCGAAGCCCACAATGTCAAAATGAGTTCGTATGGAAACATTGAGACTCCCACCTCTTGTATTTTAATTTTGCCCATCTTCAGCTTACCGGGTGTCTTCTCAATGCTGTTGTGATGCTGTTGATGTTGCTAAAAGAAAAGTAATTGACTAGTTACCATAGAAACAGGTTTTCTGTTTAGTGTCTTAAACTCTTTGAGAAAGCAATCAACTATCTCTTTTGGTGCCGTGGGTTTCCAGGCCACAGCGCTGAACGTCAACTACACAGACACGGGCCTTTTTGGTGTTGCCGTGGCTGGCCATCCTGATGATATGGACAAGGTAAATAGGGGCGAGTTGATGGGGTTCTGATACCCTCTGAAATCTTTTCATGCTTTAATATCCCGGGTGATACTGAAGTATTTACACTGTTTCACATCGACCCCCTAATTGCCAAAGTTTGCCGTTTTGCACATAATCGTCCCCGGAAAAAAAAATTTGGGGCGCAACCCTGCAACAAAACTATGCAATATAGCGTAAATTTCATTCGATTGGACCCTGATTGATTCGGATGTCTATTTGGTCTGTTCTGATCAATTGAGATGATGATCTACGAGCCAAGCATTGCAATTTCGAAATGTAGTAGAGCGAATGTGGCGATGGTGTCTAATCGAAGCGAAATAAGTTAGCCGTTATCACTGCAGCTGCCAGTGAAAAGACCACACGGAATTTATGGATATTTCAGAATGCGTCATGTTTTTTTGTGCATTTATAGTGTTTTTGATCGTAGCATTCACCGCCTAATGGCACCTTGTCTTCCGCGTGCCTTCAGAACTGCTGGTAATCGTCCTCGGTCATTTCAATTTCGAATCCAGAGCCCTGCTTTGTGGCATCCCTCACAAACTTTTGGGGAGTTTCTGGGGCATGCCCAATTTATCCCAGATACAGTCTCGCCACCGTCACTCGTGCCCATCATCAGACGACAGCTCCTCACAGATTTATTCTCTGAAAGCTAGTCATTGCTAAGTTAGGCCAATCTTTTTAACACTGCCAGCTTCAAACTTTTAATTAGGCCATGTGAAAATGCTGCGTCATAATTCGTGATAGACATATGAGGTGCGACGTAATCCTGTGGCATTGTACATTTCTGTTTATTTTTCCCTCTCTCTTTGCTCATGCTGATTAGCCAGCACAAACTTGTGACGACCAATTGTGAGACTTGCGTCATGAAGCACCATCTTTGCCTGTGCCTGTTCTATTTTTTCGCACAGCTGATCAAGGCAGTGATGGGTCAAGTACGGACGGTGGCACAGAAGGTCACCGACAAGGACGTCCAAGACGCCAAGTGGGTGCCCTTTCTTTATCTCACCCTCAATTCTTTTCGGAATCGCCGCTAACGTCAGCGCTTGACAGTACCGCATGACTGTCAGTGTCTCTGTGTTTTCAGCCATATCTGGAGCACTATACAGTAGACTCTTGATAATTATAACTTTCAGGTAATTCAAAAAGTCTTAAATTTTTGGTTGGCTTGCTATGCTTTCAATGTATTTATACCCGTGTCACACGAGCATTTGGATGACCATTGATGCAATGGTCTATTGACTCAACTGCTAGGCACGAGCTGCCACATGGGCTATTCCGAAGGTTGTTGAGTCAATAGTTTATTGAGTCAATGGAATACCCTTCTTGTCCGTTAATGTTCGATGGCCATTGAGTGACGGAAGTAAAAACAGCGCGAACATGCCAGAGTTGACAAGCGGTGATGTAACCATAGTTTGAACAACTCAAGAACTAAACTTGCATTCATGATTGTGTACAAGTAATTTATTTAAATGTTTTAACAAATATATAAGACGCACGTGTACGTTTAAGTGTATCTATCTTATATCTCTGTTTCGATAACATGGAAACGAAAATATATATTTGCAGTACCGCACAATTTTCACGAAAACACTTGAACCACTTGCGGTGTCTCCAAATGGCGAGCGAGCTCAATGCTCTTGGAGTGAACGGACACAGTAGACACTGTCAGAACAAACCAAACAACACACATTTAATTAACTACTTTTTGAACGATGATATCGTCAGCCAAATAATTATACATCAATTGTGATCAACACGATAAGACATACTTACACAGTATTACCTTGCACTCAACACATTACACAAGGCGGCAAACGCTTGACTCACCACGAGGGCCCCCGGCAGACGGGACGCGGTGCTGTGCACCGGGGACACACCGCGAGAGACCACCGTTTTTGCCAAACGCCACCAGCCAAAGAGAGACCACCTTATTTCTTGCGCACTGCCACCAAGGCTTTCCACCAGGCCTTGCCGTTCATGTTTTCTAACCATGATGATGATGATGGTGGCGATAAACGCTCACAAACACAACGCCACCTACCGCTCAATAGTTGTTACCCCGAAATACGGCTTCTGCGCGAAACACGTGCGCCACGCGGCGCAAACAACTTTACAGGAGGCGTCAGCACCCCTTCACACTTAACAGTCGTCGAAAACTGCCGCGTGGCCGCGCGACCATTTTATCAAGTTGATGGAGTTGCCGTCGGCTCGTTGGCCTTTTAAAAGGGTGTATGCGACACAGGATTTTGAGCCGCTTAATTCAGACTGCCTTTTTGCAAAAATTCAGTCAATTAATACTTTGTGTTTGTCCATGCCTCCAAATACCTGCTTCCTTTATTGAGCCGTTTCAACTTCAGCTTGTTTGTACAGCACAGTGAAGGGAACAGTGCTGGTAACGGTGCTGCGTTTGTCTATCTTGTGCATTTCTTTGTCACCCTCATCCGCACTGTTTCCTTCGCTGTGCCTTGGTTGCTTCTAGCTGGACATTCACGTTTTTATACCATTAACAGTCACTAATAAAGCAGACTGCCTGCCTACATAATGGCCACACTAGTCCTAAACATGCGTGTGCAGGCGTTGTTCCTATAGTGAAATCCAGGGTTCTAAGGAAGCTCATCTGGTCGGGAAAATGTATGCCAGAAGATAACAAACGTTAACCAATCGTTAAAATAGACATTACACCGCTATGGCGGCCTTGTATGCAGTGGATATATGAACAGGAGCTCTGTAGCAGGGCACACACTTTTTAATGACTAATCAACATTCGTTATAATAATGAGTGCCAGTATGGCTGCTGACGTCTGAAACTGTCTATGATATTGCTGAGGATTTTGCCTTAAGTCATACATACGTCAGCTTATGGTAATTCAAAATTTTGATGGTTACATGAGGGGTGATGTTGCCCAGAGTTCATGTAAAATGCCCCTAAACAGGTGTTGAAATAATAACTATTAAAAAAATCCTGAGGTACCCTTCAGTTTAAATTATTGAGAATCTGCTGTATGATGTCTTTAGGAATGTACCGTGCAGTTAGATTTATAATTGTTGCTCTGCATTTAACACTGAATTAAGGTTTTTACTACAAGTCATGACTTGCAGTTGGATACAATTATTAAAAGCTTTTTGTAGGTTGAAATTGTACAGCCTTGCTCTAACCTTATGAAACTTTTAAGGCAGTGCCCGGCAACGGGCACTGCCTTAAAATGCAGTGGAACGAAATGTGACTTAGGGCCTTTCAGGTAGAGCAACCAGTATATGAACTGCTCTAGGCAACCACATCACGTCACTGTGAATTTGGTCAACAAAGGTGATGTTTGCAGCTCTGTAATAGTGCAGCAAAGCAATCTTTCCTCGATATTGTTGCATCTAATTCTATGAACACCACATGAGTGTATTACACGTAGTCGTCGTGTGGTTCGTCCAGCAAAAAGAGGTGACACGCTGTGATTGCTTCTCTTACTGCGGAAGTTGCGCGAAAATTTTCTTTGCCTGACCAGAGTGTCTCCTATGCGTGCGTGCAGGCAGAGGTTGAAGGCTGCCGTGCTGTTCAGGCGGGAGAACCTTTCAGAGCTGGCAGTCGAGATGGGTGTGCACGTGTCGCGCACCGGACAGCCCTGGCAACACGACGAACTCCTGCAGGCCATCGACGCCGTCACCACACAGGATGTCGCCACGGTCAGTTGCATGCAAGCTCTTTTGGTGTTTGGAAACCTTTAAAGGAGTTGCGACGCCAAAATTCGAACACGATTCGACTGTTCGTGATGAAAACATAGAGGTACTGCCTGTACGATATCGGCCGCAGATACAGCGTAAGAAGATTTTAAAAGTGAGTTTCAAAGTTCGTGAAAGTAGAATCGGAAAGTGTACGACAGCTTCACCGTGAAAACTGAAGTAGAGCGTAACACGGGCACCCAGCGATTCCCGTTGGTAGAATTCCCACTGCACCTTATACCACGGCATTCGTGGCACCAATGTTTAGGGGCTCCTCACCACGAGCAGACTCTTGTTAGAAAGATTCACTAACTCAGTGTGTGACATGTGCGCTACTTTTTACTGCGCTTCGTCGACTTCCTGCGTGTTACGGCAGTTTAGATACACGCCATCTGCAGAGAGTTCCGTTGTTTCCCCCATTCAGATCTATTGTCGTAGATTGCTGGTGAGAAAAAAAAAATTTCGCACTCTCGGAGACGATGGCACCCTTTCTTGCACAGCACCGCAGTCGGCCGCATAATTTGTAAATGTTCTTAGGTATTTTAAGTTAATAAATTGCAATTACATGGTTATTTCTGTTAAGCATCTTATTTTATACCCTGTTCATTCATTTTAACCCAGTTTTCAGCCTTGCTACCCTCGTTTTGGCCTATATTGAACAGCTTTATTGTGAGCCTGATCACGCCACTGCAGATTGATTGGCATTGAAATTAAGTTCTAAAAATGGCATTTGAGTCCACTTGTGTGCTGTCGCTAGAAATGCACTACTGGTACCGTAATTACTCGAATCTAACGCGCACCTTTTTTTCCGGTTAAGCGAGTTCATAAATAGCATGCGCGTTAGAATCGAGTGCGAAAAAAAAATGAATACGGTCATTCTATTGCCATTGGCATTCCAAAATGGCCGCCCCCTACGTGCGTCGGCATGGCGCGTCGGCCATTTCTGCCTATGTGTTTCCCATGTGCGGCACTTCGTACGTGTGCTGAGGAGTTCGTCATCTTGGTGTGCATTAGCATCGACGGCATGGAAGGGCCGACTTTAAAAACTCAACGAGTGCACCAGGATGCCGCTTTTAAAAGAAAAGTCATCACGTGTGCCGAAACAGACGTAAATCGGGCTGCATCGCGGTCGTTCAAAGTTCCCGAAACGTGCGTGCGGGACTAGCGGAAACAAAATCAGAATATTGTCGACAGCAAAGATTCACGCAAAGGCTTCAGTGGACCACAGCAGGGTCGGTTTCCGCAAATTGAAGAGCTGCTGGGCGAGTATGTGATTGAGCAGTGAGCGGCACAGCGGCTCGTGATGACAGAACTGCTCCATGTGCAGGCTATGCAGTTAGCCTTAGAAAAAGGGCTAATGCGGAGCCAGTTTAAGGGGGGACGTGGGTCTTAGAAAAGTAAAAAATGGCCAAAAAATCGATTTTGAGAAAAACGCATTTTTTGAATCTTTGAACCTATAAGCACCTCTCCTCAAATTATTAATGCTAAATTCGATAAAAAAATAGGTTAAAATCTATTTTCAAACCATCACGGGAGTCGCAAAACAACCGGCAAAACAGAAAATTTGTTCGAACTTCCCGCGCGCGCCGCCAGCGAAGCAGCCGGCGGATCGGCGCCATCTTGGGCTTGTTTTGAAGCTGGTTCCTTTGTGCGCGTTTTGCGGGCTCTCAAAATGGCGTAGCTCCAGCACAATGACTGCCCTCCCCCGTTTTGCGAAGCCGTCTGCCGGACCACTGATTGGCTAGAGCGCGCGCGCGCCGGCGAGCCCCCCCGTCTTGCACTTACCATTGGCTGGCGCGGCGGCGCAGGCACGGTTGCTCGCTCTTTTTTTTTGTTTGTTTGGTTTTGCTCCGTCGGCGCCTGCTCTCGTGCGTGTTATCTCGTCTGCTACCCGCTCGTGTACCGACGTCGCCGACGTATACGTCTTTCTGCATTTCGCCGGCATGGCTTGGGAAGCTCGCCTGAAGAAGAACACTCGTCAAGCTTTCGGCAGGAAACGAAAGCGAGCGTGGAATGCGCGGCAGAAGGGAGCGGCCTGCGCGCCGACGAGAACGCCGGAGATGGCCGAGGCAGCACATTCTGACGACAACGGGCTGTCGGAAATGCCTGTTATTGCGGAGGCAGCACATTCAGACGACGACTCGCTGGCACAAGTGCCTGTTATTGCCAGAATCCTAGTGAGAGCTTGCACGCTACAATTTGGCAACAAGTCCCCAAGACCACCCATGCCTCACTGCGCAGAAGCCATCAGCCGCTTTAATCAGGGGGCCACGAAGAGCAATGAAGCAATTGCTGAGAAGCTAGGCTACAGTGCAGGAAATCTCTTCATGCGTCGTAGCCTTGAAAAGGATAAAACCAGGCTTCACAAATCACGGAGGGAGCACCTGCAGAGCAGTTCAACAAAGGCAACACTTGCAAAGCGACATAAGCCTGCAAGAAACACTGCATACAGCCCTGGCATGCTGTAGAATTGTAAGGATGTCTGGGACAAAAATGTGTGTTTTACTTGAAATAGTGTTTTATGTATAAAAGGGCGATGTTTTTATATATAACATGTGTCTTCCTTTGGTTTTCAGTGCACTAGAACAGCCACAAAGTTGTAGACTGGGTTCCTTATACTGATTCAACGGCCAGTACACAGTTTTTAAATGAGCTGTGGCAAATATTTTGGGAAGGTGCATTGACACATTTGGTACAGCCATACTCACATAATGTAGAGCTATACAACGGTGCCATTTTTATTTCTCTAGCTTCACTTTAGCAAAAGTTACAGTAATTAGAAACTTTAAAGGCGTTTTTCTCAGTCCGATGTTTTTGTGCACCTCACTAAACCTTAGGGGTTTTTCTTATATGTTACTGTTGATTGAGAATGACAAACTTGGTATCATTTTATTTGTAATAACATTACCTATGGGGTGATGCTATTTTGATTACTCTAGAAGCATACTGTTAATTACAATTATGGATAGTAATGAGCGAAAATTGAACAGAATATCCATTGTAAGTGCTGGTCTGTTTTCTTATCTATATAATGCCTAAAAATTAATAAAAATAGCATAACCCCATACAGAAAGCCCTCAGCATTGGGGCTATGCATTTATTTTTTGAATCTGGCTTGATTAAGTTGCCAAAAAGCCCCCAATGAAGTGCATAATTAATTAAATTACGGATGTTAATATCTTTTTATCCACTGAAGCTATTTCAGAAACAATTACGTATTTGAAATCAGCATGAAAAACTGTCCAAGATGGTGAGGTTTGGTCAAGATTGAGCCAAAAACAGAAAAAAAATTTTAAAGACCCATGTCCCCCCTTAAAGGAGCAGGTGCTGGCTAACTAACTTTATGAAGAGGAAAGGCTTTTCCCTCTGAAGGCGAACGGGCATATGCCAAAAGTTGCCGGAGGACTACGAAGAAAAGCTTCAGTTTTCAGAAGTTCGTCCTGAACTTGCGGCACTACATCGGCTCCCTGCTTGGGCAAATTGGGAATGCCGATCAGACGCCTCTTTACTTAGACATGCCTGGCACCACAACCGTCGAGAAGGGGGCGAAGCAAGTTCGTGTGCTGACATCGGGCTAGGTAAAACTAGAGTGATGCCAATGCTCCGTTACACGTCAGATAGGCACAAGCTTCTCCCGTACCTCATATTTAAATAGAAGACGCTCCCGAAAGGAGTCTTTTTCCCCGAGTGGTGTGATCGTGTGGGCCAACAAGAAAATGGGTGCGCGTTGCAATCGATGTCTTACTTTTTTTTTTAGTCGTGGAAACCGGGTGCGCGTTACAATCGAGGGCGCGGTAGAGTCGAGTAAATACGGTAATGCGAAATGGGGGTAGAAGGGAAAGGATCGAAAGTGAGGCATTTCTATTGGAAGGGGCTCTCCCTCTATGGCAGCTTGATAATGGGACAGTTTAATTTATTCAAACTCCCCAAAAATTATCTCAGTGAAATATTTCTCTGATGCTGCCTCTCAACACTCAACTTCCAGTGTGCAACCAACGTTTAAAATGAGGCTCGGCCCACCAAGTGAGATGCTAGATTTATGCTACCTGAAGACGTCCGTGCCGTCCGAGTGAAGCTCCTCGTTATGCAGTGAATGAATTCATGCAGAAGAGGTTCAACGTTTGTTAGTCGCTGAACATTTCTTCTTTTGGAGCGAAGCTCCTCAGGCCTGCAACCCTCCCAGAACCAGATCGATTTTGCAGTGCACAATAGACGTGTGCTCTCCGAAGTGGACTTGACGGCCGATGCAAGAACTAGCGACGCTCCAGTTCCGCCTTGCATCATGCCTCCCACGTTCGCAAATCAGGCACGGAGAAATGCACAACGCGTCGCAAGCGGCTACTACTCATGCATCTTGACTTACTGTGAGTTGCCTTCGCGCTCACGCGTCAGCTGCGTGTGCCAGTTGACGCGCGTAGCTGTGAAACTGAACTGGTTCTAAAAACGTTTTCCCACCCTATTGTCTTCGTTAAAGCCTGCGGCATCAGGCACATAGTCGTTTCTGTCTCATTTCTAAGAGCTTCACTCATCCATTGTATTTGTACGCGTAACTGCTAATTTTTAGGCAAAGAGTGGGCTTTCTCATCTAAAGCAGTTTTTGAAGTTCAGACTGTGTCAGTGAGGGTAATGAGAAGCACTTAACTTTGTTGCCGTCGTATTTCACTTTACAGGTGGCAGCCCGGGTGACGAAGAGCAAGCCGGCGATGGCTGCTGTTGGTCGCTTACACAACACCCCGCACGTCGACGAGCTCGTCTAGAAAAGACTGCTGTAGTTGTGCTTGCACGCATAGTGGTTGCTGTTGCTGCCGGGACATCTGGGTAGCTAAGTGACTAGGACGCGCCGTTAATAAATGAAAAATCTTCTGGCCGACAGTTGTGTGTGCATTCCTAGCCTATGGCACTGGTCGTGGGAACGGTGCCACATGGCACCACGACGTAGTTCCTCTCGCCTCTGACACCGAGCCATAAAAAATTCCGCCATATCCACGAAGTGAATGATGATGAGTGGGCGAAGCTCCGGAGGTAAACCTGGTAAACCATGAATCCTCTGTACATTTTGCCCACTCGATTTTATTACATCGCTCCCCCTAGCGTACGTCGCCGCACTAAATCGAACGATTGCCTTCAACCAATGACACGCGTCATATGTGACATCATTCCTATTTTATAAGATCTCGCGTCTTTCATCAACTACAAGTACCGCTTTCTAGTTTATAACGTCTTGCATCTTTTCATCATCAGCTACAAGTACCACCATCTAGTAAACACTACAAGAACTAAACTAGAGGTGGCTACATACAGGGGACGGTACCGCCATCTAGTGAACACTGCAAGAACTAAACTAGAGGTGGCTACATACAGGCTACAGGGGACGCACAGCCCACGCCCTAAGGAGCTTCGCCCCTAAAAAGCTCTTCACCACGTTTTGCAGTCGCAGTGACAGTTGTGCCGTTGTTAAAAGGTTCTACAGAGCAGAAAACTGCAACTTCAAACAAGCCTGCTGACGCTTCTGTAGGAAACCCAACTTCCATCTGGAGAGCCAAGGTCATGTGCACAAACGCCTTTAGGAACATTCCTGTGCCAGTGCGAATTTATTAGAGCACTCCAAATGTCCAACAGAACATTACAGTACAGTCGAATGTTCCTTGAATGATATATGCGCTACAACGAAAAATTCACGCTTTCCCATCAGTAGTCTAATGGAGTCAATGCATAAATATTGTCGCCTCAACAAACACTTTTTCTTCTGCAGTCCCGCTTTTTTCGAAATTTCACGATGCAATTACAGGCTCAGATATGCATTGCAATACAGTAAACCCACTCTATAATATTGTGATGCATTTTCAGAACCTGAAAATACATGGACGTATTCTAAAACACGCGTTGGCACCACCAAAAACTGCTGCTGCTAAGCAAGCATGGGCGCCACCATTGCTCGATAGTGATGGCATTGAGACTGCCCTGCTTTTGCCACTGGCTCGCTTTTGAGCCGCAGACGATCTGAAGCTCAGTCGATCAGTCCATGGTTTCTTTCAGGCAGCTGCTGGGTGCAACTGTGGAACGATGTCTTTTCCAATTCCAATGCTTTCAATACCTGCCAAGTCTCCCGGATTACTCGGGAGACTCCCGGATTTTGAACGTTTCTCCCGGTTGTATGGCTCATAGGCAAATTTCCCGGAAAACCAGTTTCACCCCACGCGTCCAGTGCATTTTTTGGCCATGTAGCAAAAAGGATTCTTCTTTTTTTTAAATGATGGTAGCAAGGTTCAATGTACGTTTTCGACATGCGAAAGACAGCGCCAGAACGTGCCGCCTGCCGAGTAGAAGCAGCGAAATCGCACATGGCTGCGCAGTTATGGGGGTGGGGGGTCACGCACAATAATGAAGAAAGAGAGAAAACTCCACTGTAGTACAGAAAGGGCAGTGACACCTTGGCACGGCTGTTGCTTTTGCTAGCTGTTGAATGTCCACCATCACTTCAGCATTCCAAGAAGTGATGGTGGTCAGACTGCTCGCAGTGCTGTGCCACTTCACTCCTTTCAGTTCGTTCGCTGTTCAACTGACGGAGGTCGTTCCTGTGCTGCCGCATCTTTTCGTCAAAATTTCTGGTTTACCGATGCAGGAAGTGCGCAGCCGACCATTCACAGAGCCGTGAAACGCCCCGTCACGGCACCGGTTTTCGTGCCAGACAGACAACTGCCGAACGCTTACGTTTGGTATTACAAGCCAGAGGAGATTGTGGCGTACAAGAGAGACTGCACCTCCTCCTCACTTCACGCTAGTGAATGCCGACTAGGACGTAGTTTGCATTCCCACGAGGGCTGCGTATTTTGCATTGCTGGCGCCACAGCGCAGTGAGAAAAAAAGGAGAGTAAGGATGTAAGGATAGACCGAGCCTTTCCGACAGTGGCGCTCGCTTGACGTGACGTGGCTGGGTGAGCGCGTTTGCAAACGGGGATGCACGCACGGAGGAATGCGCGGCCCTCTGTGGCTGTTCCATTGTACGGACGCACCCAGGCACTTGGTTATGTGAGTGGTGGTGGTGCCGTTGTTAAGCTTTGGGGTGGGGTTGGGGGGCACATAGGCAGCCCTTTGTGTTGACTTGATAGGGAGGTGCGCGGCGACTCGGGCGCATAAGGAGGGGATGCGACGCTGTTACCGACCTCCATTCTCCCCCACCTGCACCCGGAAAGGGAACTGCGCATGCTTATGCCCACACCTCACCACACAACGACGATAATTGTAGCGTGAGAACAAACGGTGACACAGAGACAAGAAGAACACGAAGTGTGTTGTCGTTTTGTTCTCGCGCTATAACTATCGTCATGTCATACCAGCTAGCTCAAGCTGTCTTACTTCTAGCTCACCATACACTTTATCTTTCCTTTCTTCGTCCACTTTCCCGTCTCCCTTACGGAGCTAAGCTGAACCATGCTTCCGCAAGGGTTCATAGAACCTAATAGCAGGGCTTATTTTAAGCCGCTAGTCGCGATTAAGCAGCGCTTGTCCTGTTCGGAAGTCAGAACTTTTTTACATTTTTCTGTTTTTTTTTAATATGACTGTTTTCTCCTCTCACTGTCTCTTTTATCTTCATCTTTCTTATCGAGCTCTCCTCCCCCATATCGTCACCTTTTTCCTTCAACATTCTTGTCTTTTGCTGTTCTTTTTACTCATCGGCAAGGGTCACCGACAAGAGTGCCTTTTTTTTTTCTTACGCGTCCGGGCTACGAGTGGCGAAGGCCAAGCTGGGTTAAGGCGAGTGGTCTGCAGGACTGTATTTCATTTCTTTCGTTTTTCTCACGTCTCCCTACACCTGTAAGCTTACAATGGGGCTTGAAATTGGTACAGTATGACGATAGTTATAGCGTGAGAACATAATGACGACAAAGAGACAAGAAGGACACGAGCGCTAACTTCCAACTGAGTTTAGTGCACAGAGCGCGAAAGCATATAAAGGAGCCAGTAAATCGTGTGACAGAAACCATGTGGCACAAAGAGCAATACCTGAATAAGGAAAAAAAATAAAAGCACAGAAAAAGGCAAAGAAAAGTCTATAAGGAAACGAAACAGAAAAGTAAAAATATTATATCTACTTGCGCGCACCGAAACCTTCGAGGAACCTTAGTTCCTTCTCGAACAGAGAAACGGAGGGCTTGTTAATGCATGACACTTGTTCGCGTGCCATCTACGCGGCCTCGACAATAACTCGTGTCCTTCTTGTCTCTTTGTCGTCGTTCTGTTCTCGCACTATAACTATCGACATGTCATACCAACTAGCCCAAACTGCCACACTTCTATGGTGCAGTATGTTTTGAAAATTCTTTTTGGTGCTCGCCCTCCTTCGTTGCAATGTGGTGGACTGAACGAGTTTCGAAAGAAAGGCAGTGGAGTTTTTCAGGGGACAAGATTTTCCCGAAGCGTTTGAGGTCACCCAATACCGCAGTAAGTCTTCCAGTTGAGCTGGGGATGCGGTGTGTTCTGCAAATAGCAACGCTGAACTCTGTCGTTGTTCTCCGAATCTCGTCGGTTACTCGACGTAAAGGCCTCGGCTGTGGTCTTGTTGAGCAGGCCTATCGTCAGTCATGGCTATGAATAGGGAGTGTGAGCGCAAGAAGTATCTGCAAGTATTTGTGAAACAGTACACAACTGATTTCGGTTGCATTGTGGAATTGCGAATGAGAAAGCACTTGGCATGCTGCATCGTTTGTGGTTGTGACTTCAGCGTTTCACATGGAGGCAGGTGGGACATCGTCGCTCACATCCGGTTGCAAAAGCACGCCATCGCCCTTCACAGCTAAGAAAAGCAACTGCAGCTGTGACAATTCTTTCGCAAAGAAGATGGTGACAGTGACGTGCGTGCTGAGTGCTTGTTCACGAGATTTTTACTTGAGCACAACATTCCGCTGACTGCCGCCGATCACGTGGGTCCCTTGTTTCGCAAGATGTTTCCCACATCGGACATCGCAAAAAAGTATGCCTGTGCCCGAACGAAGACAACTGCAATTCTTGGAGAAATGGCTAACCATTTTCAGGAAGGCATTGTGAGTGCACTTAAGCAAACTGTTTTCGCTGTTGACACGGATGGCAGTAATGACAGCCGAGTCCCAACTTCATCCATTTGTAGTGACGTACATGCGCAAGATACGCGACTTGATGAGAGCAGGCTGATTTGCTTAAGTACCCTACAAGGACAAGCAACTGGGCGTAATATTGGAAAACTGATCAGAGATGCGCTGGCGTCTTTTGGTATCCCAGTTTCTAACTGTGTAGCATTTTGCTCAGAAAATGCCAATGTTATGCTGGGCAAAAAGAATGGACTGGCTGCAGTGTTAACAAAACTTCACGAGAATATAATCAAGATCAGATGTCTGTGCCATCTTGTCAATCTTGCAGCTGAGAAGGCAACATCGTGCCTACCTTCAAAGGCAGATGAAATTCTTGTGGATATATTCTACTATCTGAAAAAAAGCGCGAAAAGAAAAAAAAAAATTCGCTTCGAGAGTTTCAAAACATGCATGACAAGAAGTGCAAAAAAATGTTGAAGCACGTCCCGACCTGGTAGCTTTCACTTTGGAAATGTCTCCCAAGGCTGCTTGAGTGCTGCAGGCACTGCTGTTAAGTTTTTAAATGCGAAGCATTTTTTAGCGAACTTCGGCGACTTTGAGCGTATCTAACTGTCTATCTATCTATCATCTATATTCTTTCTTTCTTTCTAGCCGCCTACGACTTTTAGCTCGCCTGGCCGTTTCGATAATGGTATCGATACCAAACTTGGTATGGCATAACATGACTGTATGAAGAACATATTTAACTAGTCATAACATGAAAATCACGACATGTATGTCATGAATGTCATGATATACATTTCATGG